CAGCAGCAGCAGCAGCTGCTGCTGCTGCTGCAGGCGGCCAGGGTATATGTTTCTCCAGCTGTGTAGCCCCTGTCTCCGCCAGCCGCCAGGCGCCCTCAGCGCCCCCAACTAGCAATGCCTCTGGGCGTTCTGCCCAGGGTATGTTTTCTATGACTCTGCCTACACCACCGAGGAGACGGTTGGAGTGTCCCCTCTGTATATCAGGTGCAGCGCGAGTTGTGGCTTCAAAGAACACCAGGTAAGTGCTGCCTTTGACCACTGGTCTCCGTACACACACCACTACACGGTCCACTGGAGCAGGCGGGCCCCCAGCAACAGAGGGCCCCGAGCTGCTCTGCAATACAAGACGAATTAAACCCCCAGGGCCTTGCGATGTCTTCAGGCTGATGCTCTCTGCATACTCCCGCCGTATACGGCGCAGTGTCGCACCATCAACACGAGCTGAGAGGTCCTCAGCTGCAGCAGCAGTAGCTGCTGCTGCTGCTGCAGAATGCTGATGCTGGTGCAGCGAGCGCCGCAGGCCAGAACCCATCACCATAGGGCCCCCCACAGTCCCCGGGAAGCGGGAACCCATTGGGGGCCCCCCCAAGGCAGTCAAGGGGCCCCCGCCTGCAGTAAAAGAAGTGAAGCCACGGGCGGTGCTGCCCTGTCTGCTGCTGCTGCGGAGCCGAGAGTGGAGGTGAGAGAGACGGCCAGACAGCCGGTGCGATGCAGGAGGAGCTGTGGACATCCGCCAGACCTCGAGCTTCTTCTCCTTCGTGGGGTCGTAGAAGGCGAAGGGGAGCCCGTACCTGATGCAGCACATGGCAGCAGCAGCAGCAGCAGCAGCAGCAGTAGAAGCAGCAGGCAGCAGAAACAGAACCAGCAGCTGCAGCAGGACGAAAGGTGTCTCCAGCTATGTTTCTGTCTCTGTTTCTTCATCTGTCTATCTATATATCTCCATATATGTCTCCGTCTCTGTTTCTGCCTCAATATCTCCATTTCTGTCGAGACAGAAATGTCTCCGCATCTGTCTCTTTATCTTTCTCCTTATCTATACCCATCTTCTTATTTGTCTCCTCACCTATCTCTATATATATGTCTCTATCTACATCTTTATCTATCCCCTTATTTATCTGCCTCCTTATCTATTTCTCTATATCTGTCTCCTCATCTGTCTCTCTATCTGTTTCTTTACCTGTCTCCTTATCTATCTCCTTATTTATAAATAAATAATATATTATATATATAAATAATATAATTTATTATTTATTTACGTATCTGTCTCCTTATTAGTTTATATGGGGGCCCACCTGCCGAGGAACTCATAGCTTTTCTTGAGGTATTGTCTGGGTACTGGCATCAACACTTCATGTGCTGCAACTCCATGCTGCCCCACAAACAGAGGAAATGATGTTTTATTTATTAAAACAAAATCGGGGATCGGTGGATCCCGGAGACGAACAAATCTCGATCCAGAGTACAAGCACACCTCCACCTCTGTAAGACAAAACGAACTGCTGCTGCTGCTGCTGTTGTTGTTGCTGCTGACGCCAATGCCACCTGGTCCGCTGCTGCCCCGTATAGGAAACCTCATACCAGAACCAGCACCAGCAGCAGCAGCAGCAGCTGCTGCTGCTGCTGCTGCTGTTGCTGCTGGAGGTTCTGCTGTCTTCACCTCCTGCGGATGCCGCACCTGCACAAGGCGCGCGCTGTCGATGTCTACGGGGCCAGACCAGACGATCCCCACGGAGGACTCGCTCCCGCCGTCTTCTTCTGCTAGCTGCCACGAGTTTCCTAGACCCCGAGAGGGCCCCTGGGGGACCCCTGAGGGGGCCCCCGAGGGTGCCCCCGAGAGGGCCCCCTGAGGGGGCCCCCGGGGAGACGGAAGGGGCGACGCCGGCGCAGAGGCCAGGCCCTCCCCCTCTCCTCCACCCGTGTGCTGAGACAGCTCGCGGCTGCCCTTGGATGATGCTGGGGCATCTCCAGCAGCTGTACCATCCAAATGCTGCTGCTGCTGCTGCTGCTGCTGCTGCTGAAGAGACAACGGAACGGCAGAGGCAGTCCCTGGTGTACTGTTTTTGGACGCCTCAGAGACCTCGCTATTCCCTGCCGCCAGCTGCTGCTGTTGCTGCTGCTGCTGCTGCTGCTGCTGCTGTTTCTGTTGCTGCTGCTGCAGTGTTTGCTGGTTGGAGGGTGGCATATCTGTGTTGTTGTCTGGCTGTGAACTCTCCCAGGACATGATACATTTGGCGTGTCTCCTTACGAGTCCCTTTTGGGGGAGCGCAGTGATAAGAATGGAGACAGGTCGTTTGCCTTGAGGATGAAACTCCATAAGGGCCCCCGGCTCCAGCAGGTGACAGCGAGCATCGGGGCCCCCAGGGGCCTCACATACCCACAGGGGCCTTTGAGTTTCATTAACTAATACATATGCTGGCAGCAGTTCTACTACTGTTGTGCGGGAGAAGGGGGCTGGAGCTATACCCATAGAAACAGAGTAATGTAGTAAAGGGTTTATCTCTGTTCTTTCAAGTTGAATCTGATATGCCCCCATATCACTAAGAAGAAATTCTTGTGACCATGCTGCGGTGTCTGTACGTGAAGAGAAAGCTGCATGCAGACATTTTCTTATTCTTGATGGTTCTTCTTTTGTATATAAATCAAAATCTCTTACGAGATTAAACTGAGATATTGGTAAACCAACAGAAAGACGAGAAGCACCAAAATCATGAGATAATACAACACGTTGATATGGCGGCAAAGACTGCAAACTCCCGTTCCCGTGGCGACGAAGTAACAATACATAGCCGGTTCGATTCACCACCTAAACAACATGCATGCAGTCACACACACATATATGCATATATATATATATATATGTATATATATATATAT